CATATATATATATATTATATTATATATATGCACCAACCAAATTTTTGACCAAATACCTCCACCATTTCGCAAACCATCACAAAGGACTTCCAGCTGCATATTTATATATAATATATATATTATATTATAAGGCAAGGAAGTTACAATTCGCAGAGCCCAGTCACCTTTGTGCGCCCAAAAACTCTCATAGCTCCAGTCGCACAGGAAACCCTAAGGCCCAACCTACCATATCTTGATTTTCATTGCGGCCGCATCTTAGCTTCCCATGCTTCGGCCGCGATCCAGCCTCACTTTGACATAGGGCCCGGCCGATATTTCCAACAGCTCCAACATTCTCGGCCGCCACGAGGTTCCTTCGAGACTCGACCGAGATTCCCAATTTCTCCAGCATCTCCTATCGCATCATCTCAACAGCCCAGCCGCATATTCATCACGCCCGCCTGCGAACTTCTCCAATCCCGGCCGTTATTTCCAACTCCATTCGAGCTATCCGGCCGCATCCCGTATGCCTAGCGTTTTCGGGTCGTGCCCAGCGAAAAAGCCTTGGCCGCAACCTCTTTGAGCACTTCCGGCCGTAACAAACTCCTAGCCTGACCGTATCTCCTTGGGCACCCAAAATTCAGCCACAACTCGGGCTCCCAATCTCAGCCGCAATTTTGAGAGGCCCGGACTGCATTTTTCCAAACCTACCCAGCTGCACCTTCAGCTCTAGCTTGACCAACTCTTGTGCCCGGGTGGATTTCTACCACCCCTAAACAAGAGGACTTGATATTGGAAAACAATTGCTCTCTCAAATGAAATATAATTTCATAATATAGAATGTGCACTCCATAAAGCTTATAGTGAACCCAGTGGATCCAGTTATTAAAGGTATGACTAGAGAATTAGTTGATCATCGAGGGGAATGGGTTTATAAGTCGAAATTTTTAAAAGTCGTCATAATGACAACCCAACCTAGTTGACTGGAGACCCCAAGATCTAGGTTCAAAGGGACAACCGAATTGTGGATGACTTAGTATTAGCACTGCATATATTATATCTCCTACCCATATCCTATGATGAAACAGTGTTGCATGCAGCTTGTTTTAGGATAAGCTTTACTTTTAATGATTCCTATAGTTTGGAAATCCAAGTGGGATATAGTAGGACACTCTTAATAGGAGTGTGAAATGGGGTTGTTTCTGTGGGAATTTTTAAGGGCTGGATTCTCTAAAAGCCCTCATGAAACCAAGAGTTGTTCAAGACGAAAATGAACACAATTGTAAAACCATGAGGAGTTAGGATGGGTATTGTGTGTTTACTATTGTCTTGGTTTACACAAATGGCTAAGCAGTTCACATTCACTGATTAGCCAACTAAATTCGATAGTATTTCACTAGGGTAGGGATGGTCCATGGCCACAAGCTACCTCTCCCGATGCATTATCTTTCCACCAGAATCTCTCTCTTAAGTGTTTGCATTTTACTTTACTTTTATCGTTTTGTTCAACTTTGAAATTTCATACTAGCTAGCTATATAAAATATTGAAGTGAATTTTTAAGTCGTATACTAATAAGTAACTATAATCTTTTGTTGTTATTACTTGAACTACAATATACATATTATTATCATCTGATTGTTGGGCTTTGATGTAGAAAGGGGTAAACAAAAGGCCCAGAGGAAAGCCAAGACTTTGGAGTCTGATAGGCTTTTTAGTACCTGCGCAAACAGGGTTAAAACTCCTACAAAACTTGCAAGAATGACAAGGTTATTGTAGTATAAATGATTCTCGCAAGGTCGTTCTCCGCAGGGATTATTAAATAACTCGTAGCAACCAAATTCTAATTAATTATTGCAAAAGAGAAAGTTGAGATGTTTGAATTGAAGACCTTAAATTAAAAGGAATTTAACTAATAAAAATAAGGCAATATGCAAAATTAAAGCTAAGAGCAAGAGAAACAGTTGTGTTTTTAGAAATCAAATTAAGAAAGCACTAGGGATCCGCCGTCACCTTAACAATTCTATATAGTTCCCCCAATTACTTATGACCTATACATGCATATTTCAAAGGTTAGGTATTCCTAATATATGCCTACTTGGACCCCCAACATAGAGCGTATATCACACATGCAATCCGTCTGTGGTATTCAGAACAAATCTAAACATACATGACTCATTAAGTTCTGTGAAACCTTTTGAAAAACCATGCAACCCTTAAGACGTGGTATTCATCCTAAGTGAACTTGCACATATTAATCACAAGAAGCCTTCGTCAATTTCAGGGACCGACCTCCGACCAAAACTGCATCAAATTACTTTTCTAAACATCCTAATGGTGATCAAGCATCAAGACACTTAGATAGTTTAACCTAGTGATGAATAATTCAAAAACCTGCATGCATATAATCATAAGCAAATTGGACAGAAACTACATATTCTTGCTAAGGCTCGTGGCCTCACCCTAGCAAAAGAGAGTTAGTTACGCATGTTCACAATTGAAATCCAAGAAAATATCATTAAGAAGAATAAGAATGAAAACACCTGAAAGTCGCGAAAATCCAAAACCCTAGCAATTGCTCCAAAAGCCAAAAAGAAAAAAAAAAAAGATCCCCTAAATTGCTGTGAAAAGGAGCTTAAATACCTCCTAAAACCTAGCTGCCCAATCCCCACAAGGAGACTAGGTTAAAATAAGATAATACTAGGATATAAAATCCAAATTGGATTAGGAGAATCTGCCCAAATCTGCCCAGCCACGTTTTGGTCTCAAATCTCCTCCAAATCTGG